TCTATACTCCTGAGCCCCAAAGAGGTAGATGGCATCCAGCTATAACAACCAACTGCTCTGAAAAGGATCACATTATAAGTTCGTAGAGCTGGAGAAAAACGTGGGCCAGAAGGACCACTAGGGCCCTTAGGCACCCTACAGGTCTAGAAGTGAACTCACCGTGTTAGAATAGACAACCATTTAAGATCAGAAGAGCATGTACCTGGGGACAAAGTTCAGAAGGTTAGGAAAGGAGAAACCGAAATAGGAAGCACAAGGAGGAAGTAAAATAAATTATAACAATGGATGAGTTTAAACAAAATGTGTATGAATTGTTGAATGTAAAATTGATGATCTGCTCTGTAAAGTCTGATTCACAATTTTAAAAAGATGTAAGATCTATAGTTAGCAAAAGAGTTTTGTCAGAGCATCCACATGTACTGGAAGCAGGCCACACACCTGAGGAAACCCCTTCTAATTGATTGGCTGCTCATAGGAGATCGCATCAGGGAGATGGTTCCATTATATTGGGTCTCCTGATAACTGCTAAACCATTGAGAATCATTTCCAATCCAAATTGACAGGGAAATTTTCTCAGCTGTCATCAGAGATACGATGAGGAAAGAAGCAGGATCCGTTATAAGATTAAGAAGGGCTGAAGTCAACTGTTCTGGGTTTGAAGATGGATAACCAGGCCACAACCCAAAGGAATCCAGCAGCCTCTAGAAGCCGGCACGGTTCTCAGTTTATTGCGAGCCAGAAAACAGAGGCCCGAGTTCTAGAACAGGAGGAACCGGGTTGCAGCACCCAGACCAGCAGGAGTGGATTCTAGAACCTCCAGAGAACCACAGCCTTCACATTCCTTGAGTTCAGCCTAGTGACCCCTGTATTGGACTTCTGGCCTACAGAATTACACGATACTGAACTGTATAGTTGGTTTTTTTTAATAATCATTATATTAGGGGCTCATACAACTCATCACAATCCGTACATACATCATTTGTGTCCAGCACATTAGTACATATGTTGACTTCATCATTCTCACAACACCTGCTTTCCACTTGAGCCCTTGGTGTCAGCTCCTCATTTCGCCCCCTCCCTCCCCGCTTCCCCCTCCCCATGAACCCTTGATAATTTATACATTATTATTATTATTTTATCATATCTTACACCATCCGACGTCTCCCTCACCCACTTCTCCACTGTCTGTCCCCCAGGGAGGAGGTTATATGTAGACCTTGTCCTCTGTTCCCCCTTTCTCCCTCTCCTTCCCTCCACCCTCCCTGATATCGCCACTCTCCCCACTGGTCCTGGGGGGCTCATCTGTCCTGGGTTCACTATATTTCCAGTTCCTATCTGTGCCAGTGTACATCCTCCGGTCCAGCCAGATATGTAAGGTAGAATTGGGATCATGGAAGTGGGGGTGGGGGGGCATTTAAGAACTAGAGGAAAATTGCATATTTCATCATTACTACACTGCACTCTGACTGGCTCATCTCCTCCCCGCAGCCCTTCTGCAAGGGGATGTCCAATTTCCCCCAGATCGGCCCTGGGTCCCCACTTTGCACTCCCCCTCATTCACAATGTTATGATTTGTTTTTGAACTGCATAGTTTTAGCCTCAAAAGAGAAGGGTGGGGAAACACCCTTTCTTTCTCCTTTCTGCTCCCAGTAACCACTCATAGTTTTTGATTTTTATAAAACTAGACCAAAGGTGACATCGTGCTCAACGGTGAAAAAACTGAAGTGGTCACCTTGCTTGGACCCACCATCACTGCTCATGCAAGCAGTTGTCAAGAGATCAAAGGACACATAGCATTGGGTCAATCTGCTGCGCATGACCTCTGACAAGTGTTGAAAAGCAAGGAGGTTATTTCGAGGACTTAGGCTGCCTGATTCAAACCATGGTATTTTCAATCACCTCCCATGCCTATGAAAGTTGGAATTGAATAAGGAATGCCAAAGAAGAGGCAACCCATTTGAATGATGGTGCTGGTGAGGAATGTGGAGAGTACCACGGACTTGAAGGACAACAAACAAATCTGTTTGGGAAGAAGTATAGCCAGAAAGTTCCCTGGAAGCGAAACTGGTGACCCTTTATCCCAGGTCCTTCGGGCATGTTCTATCAGGAGAGACCAGGAAAGGGCATCATGCTGGGTAGATGCGCAGCAAATAGGAGGAAGACCCTCTCAGAAATGGATTGACACAGTGGTTGCAACAATGCGCTCACACATAGCAATTGAGAGGGTAGTGCAGGACTGGGCCGTGGTTCCTTCTGTGGCGTTGGAACCATCTAGACGGCACCAAACAACAACATATATTTGCTTATTTTATATCAGTGGGATCATACAGTAGTCTCTTTGTAACTAATGTATTTCACTCAGCCTGTTTTCAAGGTCCGTCCATGTTGTGGCAGACAACAGAATTTGGCCTCTCTTTATGGTTGAGTAGTACCCATTGTAAGGAGCCCTGGTGGCAAGATTTACGGCTGCGGAAACCCCATATAGGATCGTTCTGAGTCAGAATTGACCGGATGGCTGTGGGTTTGGTACCCCATTGTTCTGTATGCCCAGCATTTTGTTCACCCCATCACCCAGTCGACAGACGTAGCAGTGTCTCTACCAACTGTTGCACTTTGTGACCCTAACTTTAAAGGTCTTAGATTGTGACTTCAAACAGGCACCTGCCACAGCGGCTGACGGACACTCCAGCATCCACTCATGGGCTGTCTGTGGAACTCGGTATTTGATGTGCGGCAAAATGCTCAACTTCCCCCAAGACTCAGTGTCCTTATCTACAACATTTCTGCCTTTCTCAGAAAATGATTTCGTTTTGTTTACTCAAATGATGGTGAACAATTTGTTGCCAGACCAAATGGGATTCTGTAAAGTCCCAACCCCCCAGTCAGTGGTATTGTTGAATGGCTTCTGGAAACTGCTGGCAGGTCTGCTACCTTAACCACCCAGCCAGCATGGCGAACAACTCAGAAACTCTCCACTGATGGAGACCTGTGTGCCTGTGGGAGCTGATCTTCAGCACCACGTGGTCAGCAGGTCTGAGAGCCGGCCTGGGGCATGCGGGGCCCTGGGCACTGCCTGGATTTTGTGTCTTTTTAGCAGTTAACCCCCTGATAGGAACTGGCTCTTGCAACCATTGTTTCTATTATCTGACATTTCACAACACCCCCCACCCCCACCCCCTGCCAATGGCTACTTACAGTCTTCCACAGAAGGATCCCTGGAACCACCCACAAGTTGAAAGACAGGAATGCCAAAATCGCAGAGGAAGCTAGCTGCTGGCTTGGGAGGCCCTTCCCTTTGGCTCTGCGTCTCCTCAATTCTCCATTCCTCCCCCAGGCCTGAGAGAAAGGTAAGAATCTCTCTCCGGATCTCTGATCCCCACCCCAAGGACGCTGGTGCAGAGGCTAAATAAGGTGGGCTTATGTCCACATTGAGCAGGTGGCGTGCGATCTGCAAACTCTACGTCAAGAAACATAACAGAAAGGGCACGCAAGGCCTTTGAGAGCGGATGGCAATGAGAAGACTCCTGTTGGTGAGGCTCACTTTTATCATTAAGATCAGGGGAGTGCGGGGCTTCAGAGCACCCGGGTGGGCAGGCTGTTGATGTAGGCTGGGGCCCTGGAAGAGCCATTTTCAGTTGGGAACTCTCCCATGGCCCCCGCCCGCCATGCGGCCTTGCATGCTGTCTGGGGATCGCGTGTACTGTCTGAGACTTCCCTTTCCCTCACAGAAGTTAACTGGATTTACAAAAGGGTTTCTGCCGCGGGAATTCTTCCAGCGTTGGGAAGCAAGAAGGAAAGGAAACCAACCCAGAACCCTAAGGAATCATGGTTGCAGGCGGGAGCAGAAAGGGGACAGTTAGGTAGGTAGATTTAGGGGTAGGGGGTGGTCCCTCTCATGCCTGCCATGCCCCCCAGGGGAGGTTGGAAGGAAATTATGCAACCAGGAGACGCCAATGAAGTCCCCAAACTGAGCTTGTTCCCACTGAAGCCCCGAGCCAGGTGGGAGTTGTACATCTGGGTAGCCTAAACTCGGCCCAGCCTTGTGACATCCCCCAGGTGGGCTCAGCTCAGCCAATAGGGTCAACTAATACCTTCAACCACGCCTTCTCCAGCCAGGGGGTGGGCCAGGATAACGGCAGGGAGCACGCTAAGGCTCACTCTCTCCCCCTCTTACTCTCTCATCTCCACTCGCCGCCCCCCCTCCCTTCTTTACTTAAACTCGGGCCACAGCCTCCCTGGCCCCTTTGCTCTCATACCCAGCACTCTGGCCATCCGTGATCCCCCAGTTCTGCACGCGTGGGTGTGCTTTTCCACGAGGCTGCCAGTGCCCAGTTGTGAAACCCTTTGAGACTGGCAAACCTGAAGCCTGTCCCGTCCTTCCTAAAAACCCACTTGGACTACGCCAGGGGCTTCGGTGTGAATTCTTTCATCGCCGAGGCATCCTTACCATGACTGGAATACCCACACGATGATAGATCGGAAGCTCATAGGATGGGTTTTAGGGGCCTCCCACCCCTTTGGCTGGAGTATGCCTTGACCTCGTGGCACTGAACCCCCAATTTCCATGACGGGCACAAAAAAGGCAAGTCCCTGAGGGCGACTGCCCTCCTCCCCGTCTGCCTGGGGGAGTCCCAGTAATCCGCTTTCAAACACTCGGCTCAAGGGGCAAACCTTCACACTGCCAGCTAGTGGCCAGAAAGAACGTGGTGTCGGCTGAATTCTATCAGGACCCAAAATGGGCTCCCACTGTAACGTAGCTTTCCACAAAGTTGTAACGGGCCCATCCGTGGAGCAGCAGCTTTGTTTCCTGCAAAACGTAAACGATGCCCCCGGCTGGGCTGCGAGCTCCACAGAGTTTCCGAAAGGAGCCCCTAGGGCTGGAATGCCCCCCACTTCCACTTCCTCCCGATACCCCTGGCCATGCAGTCACCAGAGTGATTTCTGGGGGAACGGGGAACCAGGCTCCGGAGTGAGCAAGGGGGTGAAATGAGAAGTCGAGATTCCAGTCCGGTGGCACTGTTTATTGGGAAAGCAATCTCGCTTTACACAGGGGCTCGCACGCACCGCGGAAGCTGCAGTCTGGATGTCGCCTGCCCGAGATAAACCAAAGCAACTGCCGGCACCGAAAAGCCGACCCCAGAGGATGGGCCGGCTGGTGTTGGCAGAATGACGCTGTGAAGAACGGGGGTTAGAACAGTTACGTGATGGTCTCCTGCATTGGCCAGGTAGTTGTTTTTATTAAATAAAGTTGTGTTTGTTTTCAAGCTAGCTCATTACAAACTGTTGAGTGGGGTTAGTTCGTTCCTACAGCAATAAACAGGGGAGAAATAGACATACATGATAAAAAAAAATTTAATGGCAGCATGAGAGCTGGAAAGGACCTTTGACCCCAACCATGATTTTTGTTCCCAGATTTTGTCAAGGCCATCAGGGTAAGGAGATGCACAGGGACTTGAAAGTAGCCCCTCCCCGCTCCACTACAACCTAGATAGCACACTGACATTGAAAACAGTGCACTCATGCAGGAGACTATGGTTCGATTCCGGCCAAGGCATCTCAGCACAGCCATGAACTGTCTTATCAGTGAGGGCTCGCATTGCTCGCCTGCTAACATATTTCAACGGGAGGAAGAGCTGGCGAGCATCTTCCAAGTCAGCCAATGAGAACCCATAAGTCAACGGTCTGGTGTGCAACCAACTGTGGAGACGGATGTTGTCACAAGACCAGCAGTGTTTTGTTCCGTTGGGCACAAGGTCACTGTGAAGCAGGATTTCACAGCAGCTCACAGTGACCAGATTCTCCAATTACGTGATGCAAATCTGCAGGGCGCTGACTGTGGTTCTCTGCAGGAGAAGCTGTGGATCTTGCAGTCTCACAGGTGCCAGGAGGAATTGGTCCGAATGCTGGGCAGCCATTTTCACAGACTAACAGATACACACACATCCCTGAAAAACTTGGGCCTGCTCACCTTTGTCATCTCAGTCCCGTAGTCTGGAGTGAGCGGAGCCATTTCAGGGCAGCAGTACAGATGATAGCTAACGATGGCGGGAGCAGCAGGGAAATAAGGAACATAGAAGTGGAAGAACCCCAGTGAGCCAGTGAGCCAACCACAGGTTCTGCACTGCCAGCAGGTCGGAGCAGCTGGATACGGGGACACACAGTCTGTGCTTGGACAGGTGTCTATCATGGCCTCCCCTCCCCGCCCACAATCCAGGCTGAGAGGGATTGTTACTTGTTTCATCCGCTGCTGGGTTTTCAAGGCAAAGGACAGTGTCTGACCTATAACAGGTGCTCAACATATCTTTGCTGAGTGAAGAAGTGGCTAAAGGGAGAAATCGCTCCACCCTCCTTGCTGTGACAGGAGTGACAGCAACTCCAGCAAATGGAGAGAAGCTTGCCTCTCGTGCTGTAGGGACCTCATCTGTGGGGGCAAAGACACCTGCCTGCCACTGGGCTGGTCATTCAATCCTGTCGGGTGGGCCCTGTGGTAACTCCCAGAGCTCCCTGGTCCACAGGCCCCCGTCTCTCAGGAGGCTTGGGGCACTGCTGACGCAGTTCGGCACTGCCATTCCTACCCACATACGTGCATGCAACGTGCAGAGGTCTTCCAGCTCCCAGCCTCGTGTCCTGCCCTGGGACAGCAGCTGTGCCTGGGTCATGGAGCAGCCAGTCCCAGGCCTACCACAGGTCCAGGTGAGACCAGGTAGATATGAGGATGTTCTGTGGTACCCTGTATCCCCCTAATGCCACACATTCCCTGCAGTTCTACCCAAGCCGGGCAGTCACCCCAACTCCACTCACTCCCAGTCACCTTGTACCTTTCAGTTTGCACAGACCCACCTCCCCCAACACAAACCTGAGATCCTGCTCAGTCCACCTCTGTTCCAGACATCGCCCCAACTTCCGAGACTTCTTTTTACCTTCCCTCTCACACCCAACCCCATGTGGTCACACACCTGCTCTTCTACTTCCCCCTCCCCTTCTCTCCTGGCCCTTACTGGATACTTCCCACCCCTTCCTCACATTCTTCTCCCTCATTTCCTACCAGCCGCCCCCCTACTCTCCTCCTCACTGACCTCTCACCAGGACCACCTCACCCAGGGCCGAGTGCAGAGGCCAGAGGGAAGAAAGGACCATATGAAATGACAATAGAGCTCCCTCCTTCCAGAAATGACACCATCTGTTTAAACCCCCCAAGGCCCTCCACCCAACTTGCACAAAAGAAATGGCAACCCGTGATCAGAAAGGACTTCAGCATGGTTCAGAAACGATGGCCAAGCTCCAGCTATCATCAGCACCCAGGAGGCAGAGCAAGGGACCTCCAACTTGCTCAGCCTCTGACAGCAGGCTGCTGATCGAGGCCACTGGCATCTCTATCGATGCCATTGTCCAGCGTCACCAAGATGGGTCTGGTTGGCTGGTTCTGAACTCTGTGTGGCCTTCATTCTACTTTCCCTCTCCGTCTCCCCTCGGGCTCCTAACACTTGAAAACTAGCAGTTTCCTATTTAATAATACTCAGTATAGAGGTGTGAGGCTTACAAACCATGCTAATGCTAAGCCTCAGTAACATTCCAAAATGGAGCAGCAGCAGGCCATGAACGGACTGTTTAAAATATTTACAACCTTTATAGCATCCCCGCCCTGCCACTGCACGGTGGCTAAGACATAATGACAAGCAATCTCTTTTCTTGGAAGGGGGTGGATGGATCACGGCAGGCGCAGGTCAGGCAGACAGCAGTACAGAATGAAGGCGGCACCCGACTCAAAACATGTTTCTCCAAAGACCCCCTTGGGTGGTGGGGCTCCCATCTCCCAGACATACAATATTTTAAAATGCAGTAATGACCTAAGACACAGGAGCAGCCCTAATGTTCTTTCACAGGGCTCTGCACCGAAGAGAGGAGCTGTCCACTGCGGAAAGGGCACAGTAGGTGAAAAGGCTGCAGGGCTCCTGAGCCTGCCCCCTGCTGGTGCCTCAGTGCAGCGCTCCTGTTGGGGACTGGAAGTGGATTCAGAGCCTGCCCCCTGCTGGTGCCTGGGTGCAGAGTCCCTGTCAGGGACGGGAAGTGGGCTCAGAGCCTGTCCCCTGCTGGTGCCTGGGTGCAGAGTCTCTGTCAGGGACTGGAAGTGGATTCAGAGCCTGTCCCCTGCTGGTGCCTGGGTGCAGAGTCCCAGGGAGGGATGGGAAGTGGGCTCAGATCTGGCTGGTGGCTGCGCAGTCCTTGGGGAAGTTGTAGCTCAGAGGCGCCTCGTATAGGCTTCCCCCATCGGTGCTAAGGTCATCGTCGTCATCCATGTCATCCAGCACTTTACTCGGGAACTTCTTAAGTCTGCTGAAACAATGAACATAGTTCCTGACCTTGGACGAGTTGAAGATGAAGGCTATTCTCGAGTTCGGGCGCTCTGCCCGGTGAATGGGATATAAACCCATGCATTTAACTGGTCTGGTCGGCCCCCCTGCACCCCCACCTTCAGCCTCGGGGGAGCACACTTTGCCCGCCCCCACGCCTGTGTTGACGCAGTGGGCCAGGGAGGGCTGGAACAGCATCAGCGTCACTGACTTTTCTTTTGGTCTCAGGCTACCACATGGCGCAGTCTGGGGCCGCCTGACTCGTGACTTTGTTTGAAAATGTGCTGTTTGATTCACCATGGGTTGTCTGCCATCATTGTAATCTTTAACAAAGATTATATTAAGTGACTGTCTCCCTTGTTGACTGAGGCTTTGGCTTCCCCTTCTACTATGTGCCAGAGGCTGAGGGTCTCACTCGGACCCTACATGGATGGGCATGAACTATACGGATGGATGTGTACTACACATGGGTGGGGGGGCTCATGCCTCTACTGCACCCCCCAGGCAGAGAATGTAATCTACTGAACGCCTCTGCCCCATCCTCAGGACCAGGGCAGAACAACTTCAAAGCAGCTCTCTCCTGACACCAGGCTGGAAGAGATAACCCAAAACTTCACCTTAATTCTACCTAAGTCAGGTAGAAGGTGAGGTAAGTGCTGGCCCAGCAAGTGGCCCTCTGTGAAGGTGTGCACTTGTCTTACCTGTTCCAAGCCTTGATTTCCCTCATGTGGAATAGGGATAACACCTGTCCTGCTGGCATGGGGCAGTGAACTGAGGAAGGTACGCATGATAGGCTCTACGGAACACATAGGGCCACAGCCACTCGCATCTCTAGAAGGAGGGGGACTCTCAAAGGCAGTCATAGGAATCTGGTAGCTTAGTGGGCTACCCACTGGGCTGCTAACCATGAGGGCAAGGGTCCAAGTTCACCAGCAGCTCCGGGGGAGAAAGATGAGGTTGTCTGCTCCTGTAAAGACTTAAACGTCTTGGAAACCCAAAGGGACAGTTCTACTGTGCCCTAGGGTGGCTAGGAGTTGGAACTGACTCAATGGAAGGGTGTGCTTGGGGGAAAGGAGGACGCTCAGCTTGTGTTGGCAGGGGTGGGGGGTCGGGGGAGCCGGCCACATTAGCCCACCTCAGGTCCTTCTTCATGGAATTGAGCTGCCCCTGCAGCTGCTCATTCACATCCATCTGCTCCTCCAGCTCCCTCTGCAGCTTCTTCTTAGAACTTTCCAGCCGGTCGATTTCCTCCTCTGCCTCCTCCACCTGTCGCTTCATGGCCTTCAGGCGCAGGCTCAGCTGCAGTGGGAGAGAGGG